AGCAGACAAAGGAATTAATGATAGATGATGACTTTTTAGTTGAATTATTCGTTCACATTTCAATTGAGGGTTTAAACATACCATACATAAACAGGTACCCCAGTCTGATGGTTTAGGTTTAACAATATATTGTGGAACATTTCGGGTAAAAGTAGCGTAGGAGCAATCATGATTTGTTTCAACTATGAATCTTTGGTGAATATTAATTAAATGACCGAGAAGATACCGAATTTGCCTTCCATCGATCATTTGCTTTTTATCTGGACTTAAACGACTTATTTCATCATTACATAGAAATTGTTCAACAGCTTGGTTTAAAGATGTTGCTGTTGCTGTTGTTGGTGAATTTTGATTTGATAGCTGAACAAAAACAATTATAAACTAGCGCTTCGATGACTTGGCGATGTGCCGCGGTAAACGTAGATACGTAGAGCACAATTCGATTTAAGCTCGACTGATTTGAACTGAGTTTTTTTACATTTAAATTAGAATCAAAATAATCTCCTATAATCAAAGAGTCTTTGAGTTGGACTACAGGTGAATTGTTCAGATTTTTCTCTTTCGTGTTTAATTTTCGAAGTTTTTTATTTCTTCTCTAAACCTCTGGTGTGCAATTCTTACTTCCTCTTCTTCGTTGATCAAAAAACCAGTTTACATTAAATTTTTTTCTCTCTACTCGCGCCTGCACAATACTCGTTGGAAGGAAAAGTAAAAAAGTTAATTCTGCATTTTAGATATCCTACTTCTAGCATTCAGTACTCGATCGTAAGTCAAAATGCAAAAAAGTAAAACCTGTTTTGAACATCTGCAGTACTTGCGCTACTTTTTTCAGGGCTTTATTTTCCGACTTTTTCTATGTGCTGCTGATCCGATCATTAACTCACTATTTTCAATGCAAAACAAAAAACTAAAAAATTTTACGATTGCTGAAAGGTGCTAAAGTGAAACTCTGCCATCTCGCAAAAAAACAACAGCGGACGAAAACGCTATTCAACTTACATTAATTCCAAATTTATCACGAATTTTTGTGATTGAACCTCGAGAAAGATCGTGTTTTTTTGTCATCATACGCGCTGTAGCACGTTGTCTAGCATGTGGGCTTAAACTATCAAATAAAATTTTAGATGGTGACATTAAAGAGCATTATTTGATGTTGTTGCGGTTGATGATGATGCTATTTCACCTTTTAGCTTTTTATTTTCTTTTTCCAGTTGACGATTTTTATTCAATAATTTTTCATTTTCTGATTTCATTTTAGCTGTATTACGTCGACGACGTTCAATACCTTCAGCTTTTCTAAGATCAGATCTGTTTGGTGTTATTGTTATTGTTGATGGAATTTGTGATGATTGCTTTTGTCTTGCACGCCACGCGGCTTTTCTCTCACTTGCTTTTTTACGATAACGTTTATCAAACCTTTTTGATTGTAATCTTTTTAATTTTACTTTTGATTTATAATTCCGATCATAAACAGGCTGCTTGACTGGATCACCAGGCATTACTGCGGATTATATATATATCTAAAAACGCTTAAAAACCTTCCAGGGTTCGAAGTTTAACCTCCCATGGAACGAGATCTACGCAGACAGATAGCCCTTTTAAGAACGAATAGAATGATATATAATAAGTCTCGTTTGAG